ACACGTTTACCAGGGAGAGGTTTTCACACCCTTATAAGGAATGTTTCGTTCCCCTGTTCAACCGATAGGGGATCTCACAATCCACCCCCCTTGGGGCCAGCGTCCTCGCAGGCACACCGCTCGGTGTCTGACTCTAATACCATTTGTAACAGCTCAAACTCACTACTAACAAAAATTGTCTACTTTGACCTGTTACGTATCATCGTCAGCCTCACAGTTTGAAAGCGCGTCTAATAGGGAAAAGTTTCTACACCCTTATGAGGAATGTTTCATTCCCTTTTCCAACCAATGTGGAATCTCATGATCCACTCCCCTTTGAGACTCAGCGTCCTCGATGACACTCGTTCCCTTCTCCAATCGACGTGGGATCTCACAATTCACCCCCCTTTGAGACTCAACGTCCTCGATGGCACTCGTTCCCTTCTTCAATCGATGTGGGATCTCACAATTCACCCCCCTTCAGAACCAGCATCCTTGCTAGCACATCGTCTGGTGTCTGGCTCTAATACCATTTGTAACAACCCAAGCTCACCGCTAGCAGATATTGTCCTCTTCAGACTTTTCCTTCTGGGCTTCCCCTCAAGGCTTTAAAACGCATCTGCTAGGGAGAGGTTTCCACACCCTTACGAAGAATGTTTCGTCCCCCTCTCCAACCGATGTGGGATCTCACATTAGAGGTCAGACTGGAGAACCAAAAGAGGGTAGCTCAACGACGAGCCTGATTCTTGAATGATGGTGGGTTGTTAGATCATCTGCATAAACGCGGTGGAACCAACCGTATCCATTACGATCAAAGCTAATATTAGCTCATTTCCATGGTTTTCACTCTATGCTACCCGTTTGAATAGAACAGTCTAACACGGATTCTTCAGACGAAAGATCAAAATCGAACGGGAATAAATACTCATTAAAGGAGGAAAAGAGAAGAAATTGTACCTCCATAGAGCTTCCATAGCTTGGAGATACAGGCTGAAGAGCTTGATTATTCCTTTCAATTGATTGATGATGTTGCAATAATGATGCAGCAACATGCCTCCTTAAACTGCTTGCACTTGTTGGCTGCCATTGGAAGTTATGAACAATGAGAACACATAAGAAAAGAATAAATAATTATGAATAGCAAAGAATAAAACAACATTTAATGAAGATCTTGAACAATAGCAAAAGAGGAAGTGGACGATGACGACGATTCAGATAAGTCGGTAACTCGAACACCAAATGTGTAATAAAAACACGAGTTTACACTCTACAACAAGCTAGTTTATGCAAAGAATAACAGTTTAAGCCCACCGCTAATAGATATTATCTGCTTTGGTCCGTTACGTATTGCTATCAGCCTCACGGTTTTAAAATGCATCCGCTAGGAAGAGGTTTCCACACCCTTATAAGGAATGATTTGTTCCCCTTTCCAACTGGCGTGGGATCTCACAGTCCACCCCCCTTGGAGGCCCAACGTCCTTACTGGCACACAGCCTGGTGTCTTATGATACTATTTGTAATAGTCCAAGTCCACCACTAATAGATATTATCCGTTTTGGCTTGTTACGTATCGCCGTCAGCCTCACGGTTTTAAAACGCGTATGCTAGGAAGAGGTTTCCACACCTTTATAAGGAATGCTTCGTTCTACTCTCTAACCGATGTGGGATCTCACAATTCATCCCCCTTGGGTGCCCAACATCCTCGTTGGCACACCGCCTGATGTCTGGCTCTGATACCATTTGTAACAGCCCAAGGCCACCGCTAACCGATATTATCCGTTTTGGCCCATTGCATATCGTCGTTAGCCTCACGATTTTAAAACGCATCTACTAGGAAGAGGTTTCCACACCCTAATAAGGAATGTTTCATTCCTCTCTTCAACCGATATGGGATCTCACAATCCACCTCCCTTGAGAGACTAGCGTCCTTGCTGGCACACTGTCCGGCGTCTGGCTTTGATATCATATGTAACAGTCCAAGCCCACCGCTAATAAAAATTGTCCGCTTTGACTCGTAAAGTATCGCCCTCGGCCTCACGGTTTTAAAACCGTCTAATAGGGAGAGATTTCCACACTCTTCTAAGGAATGTTTCGTTCCTCTCTCTAACCGATATGAGGTCTCCCAATTATGTACGATAATCTTCATCTTTCACAAGGAAACGATTGAATTCACAGCCAAATTCGAAAAACAAAAACTATGTTATAAGAACTACTTTTTTTAGCTTTAAAGTTTTGGCTTGTATCTTGAAAAGAACCTCAAGAAATAGATATCAAAACAATGGAACCTATAGGCAGAGTAGACATCACTACCCATTTATAATTAAACCCCATTGGAAACCCATCTTCTAACCAACAAAATTAAGCACAGACCAGCTAGAAACAAACAGCTTGCCACAAACCAGATCTTTTCACTCAAAAAAGAAAGGGGCATGAAAGGAAATCCTGTTCTAGCCAAATCTCAAGAGGAACAGAGAAGGAACATCATAAAAGGGACCAAATCAATCATTACACAGTTCAGAACATTATCCACACAACTAGAGATAACCAGCTCAGTTTTAGACCAAAAATTGAAAGAAAACAGAACATCCAACCAAAGATCAGACCTGTTCAGGAGAGCTGGGGCAAGGATCACCAAGAAAATTGGAAAGGTCAAGGGCTTTGTCCTTATTAGAGTGATGATGATGATGGAAGTAGCGGCGGCGGATGAGCCTTGAATCAGCAGCACCACCCCCATTAGAAACGCCATTATTGGAAGCTCTGTGCATTTTAGGAAGTGGAAGGTATTGATGAAACTCCCAAAGGGCCGCCGCTAGCCGTCTGGCAGAGATAGAAGAAGTAGAAAAACAAGTATAATGGTGAAAAGGGTTGTCTGTTCAGCTAATGATGGTCTGTTGAGGAAGAGCCGGAGGAGCCCAAATCCTCCATGAAAGCAATGGAGTGCAAGGTCCACATTTCGTCCCTTTTTGCCCCAATTTTTCCTCCTTTTCTGCCCCCACTTAGCCCTTTTTCCATTTTGTTTAATAAAAAAAACTCTCTCTCCTTCTCTTTTCTCTCTAATCCATCCCTTTTCTGACCCTATTTCTTTCTGGGGTTTAAGAATTTACGACAAAGCTTGTAGATTTCCAGGTGGGGTTCCCTTTTTTTGTTCCAATTTCTCTTCTTTTCTACCTGCCACCCTTCTACTCAACCTTGGGCTGTGATCCAATCTGAGTCATTTCCATGGTGGCCTATAAAGGTTGCCTCAAAAGGGTTTAGTATTACCTGTTCGGCATCTAGCTGGGGCCACCCGTGATGATTTAACCCAAAAACAAAAACCCTTCAATGGTGCTCGTTTTCTTTCCACCGTCCACTAAAAAAAAAATCTAACTATAGTGCATTTCTCAAGTTTATGGAACCTTCAAACAACTATCCCTTAATTAAGACTCAACTCCTTCTCTAATACTATATTAAGAATTACGGATCCCCACGATATGATATTGAACACTTTGAATATAAATTCTTATAACTTTGTTCTGGACTTCTCCAAAACCACTCTCTAAATTCTAATCCACAACTAAATGAAAGGAGAATAGGAGTATTAATAAAAGAGATTTTCTTAAGATCTAAAATTCTAATCCTTTTGGGGTCAAATACCTTCGATCTTTAGTGTTTTAGTTTATCAAGATTACATTTTTAAACAAAATTATCGAAAAATCTTAGACCCAATCTTCATGAATAACAACCAAAGGAATAAAAAAATTTGGCTAATTCAGTGGAACCACTGCACACTGTCGTTAGCTTTCTCTAGCTTTGCTTACTCTGCTTCTCACTCTGACAAGAACAAGGCTATAAACACAGGGTTTTGGATTTGATTAATACTTACTAGAATTAAGAAAAAGTGTTCATCTTTGATCAGGACCGTTGAATTTAGTTTGCATTGAGATAGGTGAGTGGATCCATTATGTGTCATATATGTCTTCAAACATTCTTGCAAATTAACTGCCAAACCACCCTTTTCTAGAACTGTCCCAACAAACACAAATTATTGTTTTAAATTTTGTACCTACTTCTCTTTTTACCTTACATAAAAGTAACTTTTGGTAGATAAAAATATTTACTTAAATTTAGTTTTATCCTAATTGACATGCTTGTTGTACTAAACATAATTTTTGCAACAGTTCACGTTATACACCGAGTGGTGTGTCAGCAAGCACGTTGGGCTCCAAAAAGGTAGATTATGAGATCCCACATCAGTCAAAAAAAAAAAAACAAAGTATTCCTCATAAGGGTGTGGAAACCCCTCCCCAACAGACACGTTTTAAAAATCGTTAGGCCAAAAGGAAAAGTCCAAAGAGGACAGGGTGAATCATTCCTTATAAAGACGTGGAAATCTCTTCCTAGTAAATGCGACTTAAAACTATTAGGCTAACGACGATACTTAACAAACCAAAGCGAACAATATATGTTAATAATGGACTTAAATTATTACAATTTGTGAGTGATCTTAATCTCAACTAGAGTTTTCATTCGTGTACATATTTATATTGGGTAGATAATTGATAGTCACATTTGAATGGTTTGCCTTTGTTGACTCCACTTTACGTGTATCAATAAGGTCTTAAATATCGTATTTAAACCCTGGGTGAGTCTTATGAACATTTGTTAGACCGTACTTGCAATGGCCATTGGCTTTATAGCCTCGATCAGTCTCTTTTGTTCAAGCGGATGTTCACTTGAGAAAGAAGGGAGGACAATGAACGGGTGGTTGAGAGTTATGCCGATCGAAGTGAAAGTCAAAGGGAGTCTACTTTTGTCCTTCCATCAAACAAGACATTGACTTCGATGTTCTTACCTTTTCCTCAGAGGGGCTATCTTTGTTTTTTTATCAGCCATTTTTATAATTTATTATTCTCATTTTATATTTATTATTATTTCATTTAATTCAGTCGTTTGATATCGAAAAGGGCTGGATGGCCCATGAAGCTCAATATTGGGCCGTAAGCCCGTAGGCCCAATGGGAACGGATAAAAAGATAAAGTGCAGTTGGGACCGTTGGCGCCTCACAGTCGGTCGTTGCTCCTTCTTCCCGGCCTGGCATTTCTTCACTCCCTCCCTCTCTCGACCTTTCGTTTTCGACTGAAAGATTCAGAGCAGAAACGGAGGGGATTGACGAACAATGCCAGCCATAACTCTTTCACAGTTCGCATTTCGTCCTCCTTCACCCTCTTCTCTTAGCTCTCCTTGCAGGAAGCTGTCTTCTAAACTCTCGCTTCATGAATCTGTTCCCATTCTTTTCAGGTAATTCTGTTTCTTTTGATTTTTGTGTATCTATGTATGTATGAATTAGGTCTTTGTTTTGATATCTGAGCGGAGAACATCAGGGAATAGCGGCTTTAGATTCTTTGTTTGTAGGGTAGAATGAATTTCTGCTGGAAACAAACTGTGGGAGAGAATGAGATGCGTATTCAGTTTTGTGGTGGCTTCCTGATTGATGTTTGTGTGTGTTTGGGACTGGTTTATTTTGAGGGATTTCTTGAAGACTGAGCTCCTGTAGGAGATGATGCAAATTGAGCTATATATTCATCACACTTCTTTCACACCATTTAAGTGTGGTGGATTAATCAAACATTCACAATGAGATGCGTATTCAGTTTTGTGGTGGCTTCCTGATTGATGTTTGTGTGTGTTTGGGACTGGTTTATTTTGAGGGATTTCTTGAAGACTGAGCTCCTGTAGGAGATGATGCAAATTGAGCTATATATTCATCACACTTCTTTCACACCATTTAAGTGTGGTGGATTAATCAAACATTCACAATGAGATGCGTATTCAGTTTTGTGGTGGCTTCCTGATTGATGTTTGTGTGTGTTTGGGACTGGTTTATTTTGAGGGATTTCTTGAAGACTGAGCTCCTGTAGGAGATGATGCAAATTGAGCTATATATTCATCACACTTCTTTCACACCATTTAAGTGTGGTGGATTAATCAAACATTCACAATGAGATGCGTATTCAGTTTTGTGGTGGCTTCCTGATTGATGTTTGTGTGTGTTTGGGACTGGTTTATTTTGAGGGATTTCTTGAAGACTGAGCTCCTGTAGGAGATGATGCAAATTGAGCTATATATTCATCACACTTCTTTAAATTTTTTACAATGGAAAATTGGTGTAGTGAAGAAGAAGCTAGCGAAGGAATTTTGTTTCCAAATTTTTTTTATAATTTTGAGGAGTGAGAAAGAAACAAGAAACAGAAAATGAATGACAAATGATCTCTGAAATGTAATGCCGTTCAGACTTCAGAGAAGGTACGAAGTCTTTGATCTGTTCTTGCTTTATTGATATAGGTTTTCAAGTGGTTGCCAGGCCACAACTCGCAAAGAGCAGTATTGGCGCAAATCAGAAGTGGTTTCGAAATATTACGATGGCCAAGTAATTTTCTCCCATTTCCCTTTTTTCTTTTCTCATTTTCTTTGCAATCCAACTTACGTTGAGAGAACTTAAAAATTAGATACTTTTATACTTCTGAATACACATGTAAGCTTAATGGTATTGGTAGTGTACTTAGATTGTGTACATGTAATTTTGGAACATGTAATCGTGTGTGGTTGTGACGAACCCCTCTGTAATCAGTTCTGTTTATTGTTTTGGGGGGATTAAAAATATGATAATGTAAGACAGTTTCTTATATCTCTTTTCTATATATTCTTTTATAGATGTGGACGTATAAAATGTAACATTTTCAGGTTCATTTCATGCATACTCGTCCATTGAGATAAATTGTCTTCCAGGAACTTCGTCGTCGTGACTACTGCAGCTGTGAATTATCTACAAGATCAGTAACCGTTATGGATAATCCTTGGGCCTTTGAGAAGTCATTGGCAAAGGGAATTCATGAAAATATAGATAACCATGAATCTAGCAGTGCAGTCAGCAGTTCAGTTCTGAAGTTCATGCTCCTGTCTGGTTTCTTCATACTTCAAAACTCTCAGCAGGCATTAGCCGGTTCAGATGTTGCTACTGGGTTGCAGTCAGTCCCTCTTCTGGGAGACCTTGGTGATATTAGCACAGGTTTTGCTTCAGTTAGTAAATCACTCCTTATAACTTTTATGAATCTGTATTTTTAATGCTGTAGGAAGCCTAGCTGTAGTTTGATTTCTTTGTGGAGAGTTCGTGGTGGAACTTTGACGTCTCGTGTACAGTTTTGAAAGTCGTATGTCTTTGACTGCAAATAAAATTATAATATTATTGGTTGATTTTGAGCTAAACTTTAGAGTAATGAATTTAAGCTTGGAGTATGATGTGAAATTGAAGGATCATACTTATGTTATCACTCTTTCTTCATGCAGGCGTTTCTGCTAATCTTTTTCTCAGAACTAGGGGATAAGACTTTTTTCATTGCAGTAAGTGCCAAATGACGATTAATTTCTGGAGGGAAAAAGAAATTTTGTAGTCTCCTGAACATGGAGTTAATACGAATGGGCTTGTGTGAGATCCCACATCGGTTGGAGAGGAGAACGAAACATTTCTTATAAGGGTGTGGAAACCTCTTCCTAGAAAACGCGTTTTAAAACCGTGAGGCTGACGGCGATATGTAACGGACCAAAGCGGACAATATCTGCTAGCGGTGGGCTTAGGCTCTTACAAATGGTATCAGAACTAGAGACCGGGCGGTGTCTAGCGAGGACGCTAGGCCCTCAAGGGGGTGGTGGATTGTGAGATCCAACATCAGTTGGAGAGGAGAACGAAACATTTCTTATAAAGGTGTGAAAATCTCTTTCTAGCAGACGTGTTTTAAATGTGTGACGCTGACGACGATATGTAACGGACCAAAGCGGACAATATCTGTTAGCGGTGGGCTTGGGCAGTTATCGCTTAAATTATTTTTTTTCTGACCTGTTGTCCTGATTATGATAGGGTATGGTGCTTTTCCTAATTCTATGTTTACTGTCTTTTGTAGGCTCTTCTAGCAGCTAGGAACTCTGCTGCTATTGTTTTTGCTGGAACTTTTGGTGCACTTGCGTATGTTATTTCACCATGGCTGACTATGTATTTTTGTTTTTCATTGCCACACCCCTTCGGACAAATTCGTATCTGTTATCCAATCCCATTTGACATAGAATTATTTACCTAATGACAGCTAGCAGGAGTATCACATCGGTAACCATGAGCTTGCAATTTCCTTATTTTTGTGCATAGTAACTTGATATGCTTCAATATTTTTCTTGAAGAATCTTTATAATTAAAAATAATCATGAAAGGCATGCTTTACTAGCAAAATGCGAAATATCATGAATAAATTGGTGCGCCTGGCAATTATTTTAATTAAATAACAGACGAGTCATAGGTATTATATACGAAAATGCTCTGTGGTTGATATCTCAAGAAAACATCAAATTTTTCAAGAGCTGTTTGTCCATGGCAGGGCAATGACCATCATATCTGTTGTTCTTGGACGAACTTTTCACTATGTTGATGAGGTTCTTCCATTCAGGTACGTTCCTTGTGATAAGCAATCTGAAGAAATCAAGAGTTTGATTTCTTAAACTGTTCTGTTAAATTGTTAATGCACCATCAATCCAAAATGGCTGAGATTTAGACATATGGTCCCAAATGAAATCGTGGATTGGGATCTTTCATTTATTTTTTCAATTTATGGTTTGAGTGAATATCTAACTTCGATTCCTCTTAAAAAATTCCATTTATCATCAACATATTTGATTCTTTATTTCCATTACTTATACATGATCACAGGCTTGGTGGTAGTGATTTACCAGTTGATGATATTGCAGCTGTCTGTCTTTTGGTCAGTACTGTCGTTTAGTGACAAAACAACTTTTTTGCTTGCTACACACAAAAGTCGCTACATACTTGAGAAAATAACCTAATTCAAACTCTAATGCTTTTTACGGATGTAATTGAATGATTATGACTGATTTCAGGTGTATTTTGGAGTTACGACTTTGCTTGATGCCAGCTCAAGCGATGGACTAAAGGCAGAAGATGAGCAGAAGGAGGTAATCCCTTATACTAATGTCTGACGTCTGTGACAGTGGCCTACAAAAAATTTAGTATTCTAACCCTTGGTGTAGTGGCTAACCGCCATGAGGGTATGAAATACAGGAAGAGACCTTAGATAAATGTAATAACTACTACGATTTAACGAAAATTATATGTTTTCACATCCAAAAAGGAAAAATACTATTTGAACTATTTTGAAAAATACATTGGTTCTTAATATCATGACGTTGGACTACCAGTGTTTTTAATATCATGAAAGTATATTTCAAGATGTTTTTAGGCAAATTATGCCTACCACAGTGCAGGGTGAAGGGCACTTCTCCGAAGGCTGTGTCCATGGACTATGGTGGTGAAATTTTTTTGATTTTTATAAAATAGTACTGTTTAATTTTATTCTTTTAAAAATGATTTGTTTTGTTTTCTTTTTATTCAGAGGACTCTAAGATTAAACAGTTTCTTTTTTGTTTGCGGGGTAGGGTGAAGAACTGAAATGGTAAATATGAAGGTCAAGAAAAATAGTCTCAAAACTATGTAAACACCAAGTTTTTTCCCTTCAGAGAATTCTACAAAGTAACCAAAAACCAGATGTACTTATGTGATTGGATTCAGTAGCTGAAAGTATGTCAGAAAATAACAGTTTTGTTTTAACATCTGAATCAGGCAGAGTTGGCTGTCTCAAAATTCTCAGGAAATGGTGCTGGGATATTAGCTGCTGCCAGTACTGTCGTCAGCACCTTTGCATTAGTATTTGTTGCTGAGTGGGGCGACAAGTCATTTTTCTCTACAATTGGTAATTGGAAAATCTATTGTATCAAATTATTTTATTGAAATCTTCTACTAAAACTGTAATATTAAATCTTGAAATTTGATTGTTTATATGATAGGATGGCCAGGTAGTTTTCCCTCCTTTCTCCTTTCGCTTATAACCTCATTTGTTTGTTAATGAAGAAAAGATTAAGATTGATCGAAATGCAAATGAACTAGACTGACAAATGTAAACTGCATTCATCTTTCCACACTGTTCTTTAGAATTAAGAAAGAATTAACCATTAACATTTTATATAAAATTGTCTTTGGAATAAGCTTCTGGGAAAACCCAAGCAAGCGCGAAGTTTCTTTTTCCTCATTCAATAGTTTATGTGGACCAAGATTGTAGTCTTTTATTTAAATCATTGAATTTGGTGTTGACAAGAAATTGCAAGTGCTTTCCCGATTTAGTACTTCCTCCTACATCTGAACTCAAAGCTGTATTTTTTCTGGCATTATGTAGCCCTTGCTGCTGCTTCTTCACCCCTCGGAGTCATTGGAGGTGCACTAGCTGGTCATGGTGTTGCAACATTGGTAATTTCTATACTTTTAACAGCATCCAGTTACTTCATTTTTGTTTAAACACTACTTTAACCTGTTGATTAAACCAGACTTCTCAGTGGGAAAGTTGATCAGTAAGATATAGGTAAACATTTTGGCGTGTCTACAAAATTACAAACAGTAACTACCCAAGTCTACCGTTAGCAGATATTATCCTCTTTGAGCTTTCCCTTTCAGGTCTCTCAAGGTTTTTAAAATGCTATCTGCTAGGGAGAGGTTTTCACACCCTTATAAAGAATGTTTCATTCTCCTCCCTAACCGATGTGGGATCTCACAATCCACCCACATTCGGGGCCTAGCGTCTTTGCTGGCACACCGCCTTATGTCCACCTCCCTTTGAGACTTAGCTTCCTCGCTGGCATATCGTTTGGTGTCTAGCTTTGATACCATTTGTAACTGCCCAAGCCCAATGCTAGCAGATATTGTCCTTTTTGGGCTTTCCTTTTCATGCTTCCCCTCAAAGTTTTTAAAATGCATCTGCTAGGGAGAGGTTTCCACACCCTTATACAAAATGCTTCGTTTTCCTCCCCAACCGATGTGGGATCTCACACAAACCTTCTATTTGTGGTTGTTATATTAAGTTGAATCTTATGCGCGTACTGCATTTGGGTCTATCGATTGGGGGCAAGTTCAGTACATGAATTTAATGGAAAGAACACGTTAAATACTTCTTTAGAATAATATACTTGCATATGTGTGCTTGTGGATATATATTTATATACACATATATGGCGTGTACCAAATCCTCGGTATCTATTTATCATCCTCACTTGTCAAGTTGCCAGTTCTTTTATTCGATTTTGATATTTGCAGCTTGCAGTTCTAGGAGGTTCTTTGCTAGGGACATTTTTATCAGAGAAGGTAAGATGATCATTCATTCTTTGTCCACTTTCTTCACGTCTGTGCCATTTATGAATGCTCACTACTATATCTACTGCACATTATGCTTCAGGAGGATGAAGTCGTTGTCTTACACACTGTGAACTTAACATGAATTTCGTGCTCCCTAAGTTATCTCTCTCTCATTTGTCCCTCTAAAATGTTCAGTGTGGTTTGAAAGGCCAACCAGCCAGGATTATGATATGACAACACTTTTTTTTTTTTTCTTTTTGTCTTTTATTCCATTTGGGGGGGCGGCTGTATTGAGATCAGTATTCCCCCCAAAAGAAAAAAAAAGAGAGGATTGATCCTTACATGATTACTTTTTCAATAAAGTAAATTTAGGGGTTTTGTAGGAGTAAAATATTTCCTTAGCTTTTCAATTATTGACACAAGTTTAGGAGGAAAGGATAATCAGTGAAAAAATTATTCGTCGAACTTCTCTTTTGAATGTCCTAAAAAGTAGTCTTATGTCTCCATAAAAAAAAGGGAAATAATTCGAAGTAATTATTGTTTGAAATCCCATTTGCTTCCTCTAAATCTCTTCCTCCCGAGCTCCCAGCCAAATATGAAAAAGAATAGAATATCGATGAAGCACTTATCCTTTGTTATCTTTTCCTTCTGGAATCTGGATATATCCTATTTTTATTGTGACTGTATTCTTTCTTCCCCAGCCAGAATTCCAAAGCAAAGAAATCACTCTAATAGTCCAAACCCACCACTAGCGGATATTGTTCTCTTTGGGCTTTCCCTTTCAGGCTTTCCCTCAAAGTTTTGAAAATGTGTCTTATTAGGGAGAGGTTTTCACATCCTTATAAGGAATGCTTCATTTCCGTGGGATCTCACAATTCAACCCCCTTGGGGGCCCAACGTCCTCGCTGGCACACCGCCCGGTCTCTAGCTCTGATATCATTCGTAACAGTCCAAGCCCACTGTTAGCAGATATTGTCATTTTTGGGCTTTTCCTTTCGAGTTTCTCCTCAAGATTTTTAAAACGTGTTTATTAGGGAGAGGTTTCCACACCCTTATAAGGAATGCTTCGTTCCCCTCCCCAACCGATGTAGGATCTCACAATCACACGACAACAAATAGTTCCTTCCTAGTAGCCCATTCTAGTGTCTCTTCTTATATTCAAGCTCATGATCTTTTCTTATTTTCTTGATGCTGTCAGTGGGCATGTTCTCTTCGCCAGTCAAGAATTATGTTACCCGAATGGGCTTATCTTGAACCACTCTACATGCACATAATCCAGCCAATAAATCTTAATCTTTCCACCGTCCAAGCTACCGAGTGTCATTTAGCATAATAGATGTGCAATTTAACAGCATCATTCCATATAAGCTTTAGAAAGGTTCCATCCATTAGTAGTGGAACGCTACAAATTTCTGGAACAAGAAAGTTCTATGCTTCTCAGTCTTCCTAACTTGCAACTATTAACAAGTCTAGGCCCACCTACTGTGCTTCTAACTCAAATTGCCTGTCTTTATATCTCAAAACTGGAGAATATTCTTATTCCTGGAACTTACGTAAACAAAGGAAGTTCTTATTCTAACATAAACCGTTTTATTTGCAGATTATTGCATATGTCGGAGGTGTTCTTTTTCTCGTCTTCGCTGCCGTAACTTTAGTCGAGATAGTAAACTAGAAACTGTAATATTTGGAACTCTTTTCTTGACATGATTTGTGAATTAACTTGTTTTATTTGTGGAATAAAGATATATATCTTAGCAAAGATTTATGGGTTATGCACGTCAAGTGTGAGCGGAGGAGAAGAGAGTTCAATCAGATCATATAAAGCTAGCATATCTCAGAATCTAATGGTTGTGTGGCTTTGGACTTCTTATCCTTGTTGGATGTGACAATGAGAGGTTGGCCATATTTTCCGAGTGTTTTAAGAACTATTTTTGGTAAATGAGCTTTTGAGTCTTATTTAGTTGGTTTCTTGATTTGAGAAACTTGAACTTTTTTGAGTGATGCCATGAGGCGGATCATAGTTGGCCAAGGGTTTTAGGATTCTTTATACGTGTCATAGTCTCATGTCGAATCTTTTGTACGAGGTTATAAAGGAACAATAAATACATCTGGCTCAAGCATATATCCTCGACCAAATAGGATCTGAGGTTGAAGTTTCTTACTCCGTCCATATCTAAATGTCTTTAAAAGTTCTTCAAATTATGACACGAGATGTGAAGTTATAAAGGACAAACTTCATTCAACCTACGGGAAATCTAGTTATTCATTTTTGTGTAGAATGTTCATTTCTCTGTAATCCAAAAGTGCTTTGAAAGTACTTGAAAGATGATAGAAATTCTACTTTGGTTCATTTTAGTTCATGTACTTTCAACTTTTGTTCATCTTAGTCCACGAAGTTTTAAAACGTCTATTTTGACGTAAAACTGAAGGTATGTCTCTCTTTCTTATCTGCCCTCACTTTTCCACCATGGCTCCTTGCTATGTTTTATCCCAAAACCACCACTCACTCACTCTTCCCCTTTCCTCTCTCTACTCTACATGTGATTGGGATCGGAGATATTTTTTTTGGACTAAATATCATGGTGCAATTCTTTTCTTACATTTTATTTTACTTTCAAAACTTTTCAAATAGTATATTTTAGTCTCGGTTGATTATAAGTTATATTTTAGTTACAATATTCTTACATTCTTTTGTAGGGAGACAAGAACAAACATTTCTTTATCGTCCTATTGTCATATCCGTGCTTGGCAGATAACAAAATCTAGAAAGAAGACTTTCTTGACTGGATTGAAACCAAGTTCAGTAAGTTGTCTTTGTGAGACGTCTCACTAGGGTTTACTCTCAAGAGCAGTTCCCGTAAAATCAAAAAGCTTACATGGGTTGTGAATATTTAGGCCGATCTTATTTCTACTTATATATGACTACTGAGACTTTGACCGTGTTTCTTTTAATGAGTTCGATTGATAAGGGGGAATATAATATAGTATAAACAAAGAATATACCACATTTTGTCCTTTTTTTTTTTTTTTTTTTTTTTTTTTTTTTTTTT